GAGGGGACTAAGGGCGTGTGGGTAAAGCCGATACATACGAGAAATAGGCCGGATAGACGAAGCCGATGAGGTTGCATAGCAACGATGCCCCGTAGCCGAACAGGAGGTAGACTCCGACCAAACCCAGGGCACCTGCGCAGGGCAAAGCAGAGCACAAGTTTCGCAAAGGAAGTGAGTGGGTGGCAAATTTGAATCAGCAATCTGAGTGACGCGCCGGTGCGCCGCCAGCAGGATGCCGGCAGCAGGATGAGGAGAAGCGCAAACACCGAGAATCAAATGGGCGACCTGAAACTTTCTCAGAGGCTCTCAGCTGAAACGTGAGTCATCACCATTGCCGGCAAAATGTAAATATTTGACTTGCAGATACAGCACGAGACAAAGTGAGGACGCTGAGGGGGATGGGACACGATGTGTGGAGCAGAACGTTGACGCCGCATCTCATTTTGCCCGCGAAGAATAGCCGGCTGCCTCCACGAGAAGCCTGAACTGGAAGAGCGGCTTCAAGCTATCAAAGAGGCCAGCCATGAAAGCACACGTGATGTTCAAACGGGAAAATGAAGCTGTGAGAAATGTTATCACTGATGTGGAAATTTATGTAGGAAAAAAGATAACTATAAATACCCCCCCACCCAAAAAAAAATTTGTATCATTGTGAAAATTAGTGGGATGAATATTTGCAAGATGAATTACAGCATGCGCCCCTAATATTTCAGGTTAGGGGCCATTCCACCTTAAAAAAAAAAAAAAAAGTTACTGCTAAGCCCTGTATAAAAAAATGAACCCCAAAAATCTACAAAGGACAAAAAATTGCAAGCGTATCAAAAAGGTGAGCCGTACCCTGGTAAAACATTTAATCCCTAGTGAAAAGTGGTGTCATTTGCATAAAATTTGCATGTATTTTGCACAAGCGTAAACACAGGCGCAGGTGTTCCACTGTCAGCTTCAACTGAAACCAAGAGTAGGTTTGCACCAACTCTTTCTCAAAGTTTGCCAACTTGGTCAAAACGATACCCGCTCAGTACAGCCACCGGAAATATTAATGGCTTAATTGACTACTCACAATATTAAATGCACTTTTTACTGGTCATTTTTGACGAACACTTGAGCCTACGACACTAATCTGTTGTAATATCCTGATGGTGGCAGTTGAAGAGCTAAGCTTTTTTTTTAGGCGGCACAGTATATTGGCAATTGTGATCGCTTTTGAGGAAGCATCAGTTAGTGATGAGAAATTCACTGTTTGCTGTCGCCCCTATAAGTAGCAACGATCCATTAACAGTTTTTTTGTACAGTACTTAACTGTACATGCCGGTTTGTATTTTGGGGGGCTCAATCAGTACTTCTCTTGGTATACTTTTCTTTCGAGGCGTGCATGCGTACCTCTACTTGAGTACAGAGTGAGAGTACAGTACTTTGAACACCTGGGTGTCTAATTAACGGAAGAGGAAGAGAAAGTTTGCAGTAAAGTCCAGAATGGGCAAATGTGTGGTCGGTGACGTCATCACAGCTAGCTCAGGGATTCTTGCTAGCTTGATGTCGAAGAGGACGCCTTTATTTTCAAACGTCATTCTCAGACGTTCTTCTGTGTTTTGTTTTTCAAATTCGGAAAAAGAAGAGCTTACAGCGAGTGTCTGGACGTACCCAAGACGATATATTCTCTCTTCATTCCCGTTTTTTGCTCCAGCGTCGCCAGCTGGTCGGTGACAAAGTTCTTCTCATGGAGCAAAGTCACAAATCGCTCCTTGAAATGACTCATTTTCGAGCCTGGAAAGCGACGACAAACACGGTGGTGTGACAAATGACACAAAAGACGGCAACTGGTGGGGATTCGGTGTTGAAAGCCCGTTGTTTTACTGACCTTGATAGGAAAAGTTGCCACTGAAAAGACAGCAGCGGACGGCAGCTGCGGTGGAATCGCGAGGGGGGCAGGGGAGGGAACCGAGGAGGACGCCGGCCGGCCAATCATAAGACTTGTAACATTGAGAGAGGAGTTGAGTGCCGCTCGCTGGCCAATCAGAGACGAGAATAACGTTCACGGCGGCAGGTGAAGAAAAAAAAACGGTGCTTGGAATCTAAAGAAAATCATTGCTAATATATCTGTAAACTTATGTTATATTATTAATTATTATCATTTTATTTTTGAGCATCATATTATTTCATGTTAAGAAGACCTAAATTATATTCTGTTGTTTAATAATTGCTTAGACTTGTTTTTATGTTGATGGGTTCTGATTGGCTGTTGAAATAAGAAAAGCAGGAAGTGATTTTTGTTACGAGGAGAGTTGTCTGATCGAACGTACTGCGGTGTGACATCTTTTTTCCCCTTTTAATAAAACTGCATTGAAAAGGATTCCATCCCTCCTTTTGCCCTTTGTAAAGTGGATCTATCCACTAAAAACAATGAACCCCTCAACTGACATATCTATCTATCTATCTATCTATCTATCTATCTATCTATCTATCTATCTATCTATCTTATCCATTTTCTGATCTGCATATCCTCAAGACCAGGTATGTCCAAAGTCCGGCCCGCGGTCGAATTTTATTCAGCCCTCGACCTCTGTCATAAAATCAGTGCCGTCTGGCCCGCTGGTTGTGCGCAATGGGACACGTGTCGCACGGAGTGAGGTCTCGTAGACTGGTGAGTGATGTCTCATAGAGTGCTGCTTCCCTCTAGTCACGACTAAGGACAATAATCACAAATCGGGACTCGACACCAGACCTGATTGTCCACACAAAAATGAACCGCATCCTTCAAGAATGCCAACTGGGTCCTCACAGTGACGGACGATGCCAAGTACAGTCATGCAGCGACCGATGGCCCTCAGACTGACGTGGAAGAGTCCAGAGTCTAAAAAACAGGAAGCGGCGACCTCTCACTTTCGCAAAGACAGGTGCGCTCGCAGCTTGATTTGCATGAGCTTCTACGCTTAGCCGCTTCGCCGCTTCTTCAAAAGTCCGCACCCTTTCTTTTCACGCAAACTCCACTCGCAACCCGAGTCAGGATGTGGTCGCACGCGCTCGCCCTCGCCCTTTGGGCTCTCCTGATTCCGGGTGAGACGCTTGAAAACTTAATTTCGGATGGATGATCAGAATGATAATAAAAAATGTCTCAAGTTTTGGCTTTGACTTAAGATTTGGTGTTGCTTCACAGTGGAGGTTAGGTTCTCATTCATCTCATTTCAGGATCTTCTGCCGAGGATTTTCTGAGGCAGACGGACAGAGTCAAGGCCGTTTCTCTTGGGGGCACGGTGACCATCGGCGCCACGGGGAGTTCAAACATTGGAAATTATCTCAGTTGGTACCAAGTGAAACCTGGGCAGGCTCCTAAACTCCTCATCTACTACGCAACCGCTCTCTTCTCTGGCACGCCATCTCGATTCAGCGGCACACGATCCGGCTCCGACTACACTCTGACCATCAGAGGTGTCCAGGCGGAAGACGTGGCTGATTATTACGCTTTTGCCCACACTGCACGTTTGCTTGGCCTCCTCCTGAGGGGTAAAGGCTTTCATTTTTCATGTTGCCCTGTCCAAAAGGGAGCTGCTACGCAGACTGATGGTGATACTCAGACATTTTATTTCACAATGCTTCAACGTTACAAGGACATGATTTCAGGCTTGGGCTCGGGTTCGGGCTCTACTGAGAGCATCGTCCCGGGTCCGGCAGGGTTTGCGTGACGGGGTTCTGCCCGGCGAGGGTGGCCTCGCAGCTCACCGATGCGGCCTTGGTCCACTGGTCTGCCGGGAGGCTCAAGGTGCTGGTCCAGCTGTAAAGGCCGTCCCCGCCCGCCTCTCCCAGGGGGCTGTGGAACACCCCCGAGTTACTGGGGGTCCCCCCCAACTTCCAGCTCAGGGTCCAGGTTGAGGGGAAGCCCCCTTTGGCCACGCACACGGCCGTGGCGTTGCTAGACTGCAGCTGCTCTTTGGAAGGGGGGAAGACGATCACGGTGGGCCGACGCACCTCACCCGCTGTTGGGAACAAGACGGGAGAGGAGCAGTTTTTTTCAGTTTCAACGGAACTTAGGTCAAGGTTCGGGTCATGTGAATCCACATGGACACACTTTGTTAAGCACATTTTTTTTGTGTTAGCTTGTCGTTGGCAACATAAAGTAAATCCACAAGAACGCATTTTGCGAAACACTCGTTTGTTCGCTTCTCACAGGGCAATTTGCACGCAAACTTTTGTAAGAAAAGACAGCAGCGGACGGCAGCTGCGGTGGAATCGCAAGGGGGGCAGGGGAGGGAACCGAGGGGGACGCCGGGCGGCCAATCATAAGACTTGTGACATTGGGAGAGGAGTTGAGCGCCGCTCGCTGGCCAATCAGAGACGAGAATAATGTTCACGGCAGCGGGTGAAGAAAAAAAAACAGTGCTTGGAATCGAAAGAAAATCATTGCGAATATATCTGTAAACTTGTTATATTATTAATTATTATCATTTTATTTTTGAGCATCATATTATTTCATGTTAAGAACACCTAAATTATATTCTGTTGTTTAATAATTGCTGAGACTTGTTTTTATGTTGATAGGTTCTGATTGGCTGTTGAAATAAGAGAAGCAGGAAGTGATTTTTGTTACGAGGAGAGTTGTCTGATCGAACGTACTGCGGTGTGACATCTTTTTTCCCCTTTTAATAAAACTGCATTGAAAAGGATTTCATCCCTCCTTTTGCCCTTCGTAAAGTAGATCTATCCACCAAAAACAATGAACCCCTCAACTGACATATCTATCTATCTATCTATCTATCTATCTATCTATCTATCTATCTATCTATCTATCTATCTATCTATCTATCTATGCGACCAAACATCCGCGACCAACCATCCGCGCTCACACTCACACCTAGGCAATTTAGAGTGTTCCATTATAACCTGCCGTGCATGTTTTTGGAATGCGGGAGGAAACCGGAGTACCCGGAGAATACCCACGCAGGCACGGGGAGAACATGCAAACTCCAAACAGAAAGCCCCGAGCTGGAATCGAACTCTGCACCTCTGCACTGTGAGACTGACGTGCTAACCAGTTGTCCACCCACCGTGTGGTCTCCTAATAAATAAATAAATAAATACATCTTAATTGATTGGCTGTCCTGCAAAATACAAATTTATAGCACCTGAAAAACTTGCCCAAATGATTGCTGAATAAATAAATTACAATTAATTTTTTTGAATAAAATTGATTGTGACTCTGTGATCAAGGTAATATGATTGCAAATCAATGCTAGAATTGGATTTCGCTCAAGAGTACTTGCTTGCAGCGTTGGCTGCCGTGCTCAGTGGTCGAGAACAAACTTCACCATACAACAAGAAAAGAAAAAAAATGATATTATGTGTTTTATGAAAACATGAGTCAGGTTGTGTTGGTTTCAATGAAAAAAAAAATATGTATATATATATATATATATATATATATATAGATATATAGTTTGGGGCCATTTCTGCGCAGTCACGTAGCTCACCTAATTTCTCTCGCTCTGGGCGGTTTAGAAGTTTAAAAGTTCAGAGCATAATTTCTCCTATTTGATGATGTCATCTCCACGAAGTCCCGCTGCTCACTTTCTTTACTCTTCCTTGAGATGACCTCAAAGTTTTTAGTACCAGGGTTGGTTGACACCATATCGTTGTCAATATGAGCGATTGCGAAAAAAAAACGGTGCTTGGAATCGAAAGAAAATTGCTGATATATCTGTAAACTTATGTTATATTATTAATTATTATCATTTTATTTTTGAGCATCATATTATTTCATGTTAAGAACACCTAAATTATATTCTGTTGTTTAATAATTGCTGAGACTTGTTTTTATGTTGATAGGTTCTGATTGGCTGTTGAAATAAGTGATTTTAGTTTACGAGGAGAGTTGTCCGGTCGAACGTACTGCGGTGTGACATCTTTTTTCCCCTTTTAATAAAACTGCATTGAAAAGGATTTCATCCCTCCTTTTGCCCTTTGTAAAGTAGATCTATCCACCAAAAACAATGAACCCCTCAACTGACATATCTATCTATCTATCTATCTATCTATAATTTCGGATGGATGATAAGAATGATAATAAGAAATGTCTCAAGCTTTTCAAGTCAGAATAAAAGTTTTGGCTTTGACTTTTGAGATTTGGTGTTGCTTCACATTGGAGGTTAGGTTCTCATTCATCTCATTTCAGGATCTTCTGCCGAGGATTTTCTGAGGCAGACGGACAGAGTCAAGGCCGTTTCTCTTGGGGGCACGGTGACCATCACTGCCACGGCGAATTCAAACACTGGAAATGATCTCAGTTGGTACCAAGTGAAACCTGGACAGGCTCCCAAACTCCTCATCTACTACGCAACCAATCTCTTCTCTGGCACGCCATCTCGATTCAGCGGCACACGATCCGGCTCCGACTACACTCTGACCATCAGAGGTGTCCAGGCGGAAGACGTGGCTGATTATTACGCTTTTGCCTGGTACGGCTCCGGAAGGTTCACACGGTGATTCAGAGGCGTACAAAAACCTCTTTTGGACTTTGAGAGAAGTGAAAGTCGCCTGCGGAAGGTGCCAAGCATGACTGGGAATCAAGGGGGGGGGGGGTAGACTCTCTTTATTTATTTTTAACGTGCAATAAATATTTATATTTCATTTCTAAAACTCTGATGTTTTCATTTTATTGAGGAGTGCGTGATTATTTCGCTTTTTTATAAATTATTTAAATGTGGTTATTATATTTTTCATTATTATTCAAGAGTAAACTACTTCAATCAGTGTTTTTTTTCCCTTTTTTTGGAGTGCAAACTTTACATGTCAATAAATAGTTGCCATTTTCCATTTGACTTCATTTTATTTTCAGCTCAAACTATATGTCAGCGAAATGTCACACTGCACGTTTGCTTGGCCTCCTCCTGAGGGGGAAGGCTTTCATTTTTCATGTTCCCCTGTTCAAAAGGCAGCTGCTACGCAGACTGATGGTGATACTCAGACATTTTATTTCACAATGCTTCAACGTTGCAAGGACATGATTTCAGGCTTGGGCTCGGGTTCGGGCTCTACTGAGAGCATCGTCCCGGGTCCGGCAGGGTTTGCGTGACGGGGTTCTGCCCGGCGAGGGTGGCCTCGCAGCTCACCGATGCGGCCTTGGTCCACTGGTCTGCCGGGAGGCTCAAGGTGCTGGTCCAGCTGTAAAGGCCGTCCCCGCCCGCCTCTCCCAGGGGGCTGTGGAACACCCCCGAGTTACTGGGGGTCCCCCCCAACTTCCAGCTCAGGGTCCAGGTTGAGGGGAAGCCCCCTTTGGCCACGCATACGGCCGTGGCGTTGCTAGTCTGCAGCTGCTCTTTGGAAGGGGGGAAGACGATCACGGTGGGCCGACGCACCTCACCCGCTGTTGGGAACAAGACGGGAGAGGAGCAGTTTTTTTCAGTTTCAACGGCACTTAGGTCAAGGTTCGGGTCATGTGAATCCACATGGACACACTTTGTTCAGCACTTTTTTTTGTGTTAGCTTGTCGTTGACAACATAAAGTAAATCCACATGAGCAGCTAATATCAGCATGTCAGTTCTGGTTTTTAGCTCTGACTCAAGTCTGGGCGTTTTTGTTTAAATATCAATACGGTGTACTTTCAAAAAGCCGGGAAATGCTAGTTAGCTAATGCTAGCTGTGGCAACGAACTCACAGCCAAACACTTGGCAGCAAATATAGCAGCTCGATTTTTGTTCCTAGGGCTTACTTACGACGCACCTGTGATTTTTTTTGTTTTTGTTTTGCCAAACATTGACGATGATACTTGACCATAATGATAAATTACAAACTGAAAAAAAAGCTAGCTAATGTTAGCTCGATAATACTAGATTGGAAAACAAGCAGACAGACAATCACGAAAACAATCCAATATCATCTAACATTAGCATATTTTGAGTTGGGTTTCTCGCAATTACTCAGACGGGTTTGGGCTTTTTTTTTTTTTTTTTTTTGGAAGACGTTGACAATTATTAACAAATTAAAGTTTATTAGCATTTTGATTTGGGCTTTTACCTCTTACTCAAAACGTGCCCAGGCATTTTTATTTGGTATAAAATGACAATAATCATGAGTTATCCATGTAAACAAAAATAAAGATAATGCGAGTGGTGGCACTGTCGAACATTTCGAACTAGCCGTTAGCAGCTGATATTACCGTGTGACATTCTATATTTAGCAGAGAGGCATTTGTGTTGAGCACAACAAATTGAGGGAGAACTACTTTTGAAACAAGAAGCCGTGAAATATTTCTTTCTTCAACAATTTTTAAATTTATTTTTAAGGGGCGATTGGTCACAAAAAGATACTTGCAATGTCTAATATCTCAGTGTTGTTGAAAGTGAAGACAGTTTGCAAGAAACTTAAAGTCAACGCACATGATTTGCCTTCACAGACCGCCAAAAAAGTATTATTCGGGCCAGATCTGGCCCCGGAGGCATGAGTTTGACACGTGCTTCAAAATATCAATGACAGTTATATGTTCAGTGCCGTGCAGGATAAACGATGAAGAATAAAGTTATGCAACGTACAGAGATAGACAAGCGTATGGTAATATTTTGTAACTCATGTAGAATATGTGACAATAAGGACGAGTTACCCCCGCCTCCCACCCCAAAAAAAAATTGGTCTCGGTCTCTGCTCTTAATTGCTTTTATGAAGCGAAAACACACACACTAATGTAAAAAAAAAGGAAACAATGGGAGCATGACGCCTTATCTTTCAAGATTTAAAAAAAAAAAAAAAAAAAGTATAAATGATTGAAAAATTTTCAAGACATTTCGAGAATCTGTGTTTTTGACAGTGGAAAATGACTTGCGAAAGGAAAAGTATTTAATTTATTTGCTAAATGTCAAGTCAGTTGAATGTTTTTTAAAAAAAATAATATCTCAACTGAATATTTTAGCGTTAACCGTGAATCGGGCAAGAAATGTTGAATTTGAGGTAAATTTCTTCAATTCTTTTTTTTTTCTGGAAACGTGGATTCTCTGAGTACACAGAATATTTTGGGATTCGAATCACATGAATTTGAGAATTGAGTGTCTTAAGCAGTGAAAAAGAAAAGAATGATCATAAAACTTTTTTTGGGGGTGCAAAACAGCAAACGTTAACGTAAGTCACAACGAAAAGTCTGTTACTTACAGCCAAGGACGACTTTGGTTCCATCACCGAAACTCCACCACAGTGATGCAAAGCGATGAAGCGGGCCGTACAAAAACCTCGGCGACAGTTGATGAGCGCCGATCAGAGGACATTGATGACCGTTTCCTTCCGTATTTGTGCGCGCGCTCGGTCGAGGGCGGATGTGGTACCAACGTGTCTATTTTTGCTGAAAACTGCAAATACCGAAGCCCTCAGACTGATGTGGAAGAGTCCAATGAGTCCAAAAAAACCCCATAAAGAAGTGGCCTCTCACTTTCACAAATAACTTCATTTGTATGTGGCGTTCCTTTCAAAAAAAAAAAATCATCAAAACATGCATTTTAAATTTACTGACAACTCCAAATTGATGTTCGGCGTGAATGACTGATGTGAAAGAATCCAAAGAGTCCAAAGAACAGGAAGCCGTGACTTTTCACTTTCACACGTACAGCTGCGCTCGCGGTCTTATTTGCATGAGCTTCTGCGCTCGACCGCTCCGTCGCTTCTTCAAAAGTCTGCGCATCTCTTTTCACACAAACTCCACTCGCAACCCGAGTCAGGATGTGGTCGCACGCGCTCCCGTTCCTTCTCTGCATGGCTCAGCTGATCGCAGGTACGATTCGTTGAAACTTGGTGTCAGAGTAGAATATACGGCAATCATGATGATAAGTCTCTTCAGTTTTTATATCGGTGTGAAAAATGATGGCTTCGACACTAACACTCTGTGTTCAATTCATCTCATTTCAGGTTCTTCTGCCGAGGATTTTGTGACGCAGACGGACAGAGTCAAGGCCGTTTCTCTTGGGGGCACGGTGACCATCGGCGCCACGGGGAGTTCAAACATTGGAGCTGATCTCAGTTGGTACCAAGTGAAACCTGGGCAGGCTCCCAAACTCCTCATCTACGACGCAACCGAGCTCTTCTCTGGCACGCCATCTCGATTCAGCGGCACACGATCCGGCTCCGACTACACTCTGACCATCAGAGGTGTCCAGGCGGAAGACGTGGCTGATTATTACGCTTTTGCCGATTACGGCCCCGGAAGGTACACACGGTGATTCGGAGGTGCACAAAAACCTCTTTTGGACATTGTGAGAAGTGAAAGTGGCCTGCGGAAGGTGGCAAGAAGAAGACACTCTGATTGATGAGCATGACTGGTCATCAAACAAAATTTCCTGGATCACTGAAGCAAACTGACAAACACTACTTGTTTTTAAACATGATTGTCTTTCAACGTGAACTATTTTTATGTTACCTTGTGTGTGTGTGTGTGTGTGTGTGTGTGTGTGTGTGTGTGTGTTGCTCTATTATGATCTGTTATTATTATTAGCTGTGATTATATTATATGATGGACCACAAATTGTAGTTATTTGTCATCACCAAGGGTCATTTTGATTTTGGGATTGAAATCAACAAATTCAACTCAACCGAATTTAATATCACATCTTTTTTAGCATAAATGTGCAGTTATGATCATTGTTTGTCCTTGCTCAAAGATGCAACTCTATTACGTTATGTATTATGATATAAGACATGGCGCGGGCCACATTTTAGTTACCGTTTCACTTGGAGGGCCGCTATGACTGAAACCATAAAACAGAAATCAAGAATAACTGTTGATTTAAATATTGTTTCAGTTACTACCATGAGGGTTTGGTCACCAAAAAATGCTCAGAATATATCTCTTAAAAAATGTTGGTAAACATTTTAGAAAGGATCATGGAAGTTGAAATGCTTAAGCTGCTTTTGCGGGCGACATAAAATGAGGCGGCGGGCCAGATCTAGCCCCCCGGGCCCTGAGTTTGACACCTGTGTATTAAAATCACATGTTTATTATTCTTTATCTTTTACGGAACTTTTCATTTTGAGTCCAAACTATAATTATTTAGGTCACAATAATAGTAAGCAATAAGACGCCAACTCTCCTTAGCACTATTTTTCACTCAACTAATTTAATTAAACTTTACGGTGTACAGTATTATTTTTATTATTGTTGTTCCTATTATTATTTAAAGTAAGTAAATAATATTGCCTGCTTTGATGAAATATATTATGATATTTTTTGTATTCAAGGGCAAACTATATGTCTCACAATAAATGTGTTGTTCTCCATTTTATTTACAGAGGCTACATGTCACAATCCACATGTGCTTGTAACAGTTCCGTAATGGACGCCGTCCACGTGAGCGGTGAGGGTTGCATTTTTCGTGTGAGCCAACTTGCTTCCCTTGTCTAAAAAATGGCTACACAGGTTGATATTGAGACACTTTATTTGACAATGCTTGAAAAGGACGCAGGCTGGGGTTCGGGTTCGAGCTCGGGCTCTACTGCAAGCATCGTCCCGGGTTCGGCAGGGTGACCTTGACGGGGTGCTGCCCGGCGAGGTTGGCCTCGCAGCTCACCGATCGGGCCGTGCTCCACTCGTCCGCTGGGAGGTTCAAAGTGCTGGTCCAGCTGTAAAGGCCGTCCCCGCCTGCCACTCCCAGGGGGCTGTCGGACACCCGCGAGGTACTGGAGGTGCTGCCCACCCTCAAGCGCAAGATCCAGGCTTGGGGGAGGCCCCCTTTTGCCACGCATACGGCCGTGACGTTGTCTTTCTGCAGCTGCTCTTTGGAAGGGGGGAAGAGAGTCAGGGTGGGACGACGCACCTCACCCGCTGTCGGGAACAGGACAGGAGAGAAGCAGTTATTTCAATTGCGCACGCTTTTAACGGCAGTGAGGTCATGGTTCGGATCATGTGAATCCACAAGGACATACTTTGTTCGGCACTTTTTTTTGCTGTTGTTAGCTTCTCGTTGGCAACATAAAGCCAAATGCTCATAATGTGTCATAAACATTATTATATCATTCCAATGTATGTATAGCCACACTTTGAGAAGAAGCCATTAGCAGTGAATATCAGCGTGTCAATTTTGGTTTTTAGCTCTTATTCAAGGCACGCCTGGGCGTTTTTATTTTGTAAAAACTGACAATAATGACTTATTATTTACTTCTTCAAAAAAAGGCTAATGCTAGCTAGCTGCTACTAGCCGTGGCGACAAGCTCACAACCAACCATTAAAAACGAGTCGTCAGTAGCTCATACGGCACGTCAATTCTTGTTCCTCGTGCTTACTTAGGAAATGTCTGCACATTTTCATTTTGGTGACAACTAGTCCACGGCCGAACATTGAGGAAAAACAAAAGACAGTCGTTAGCAGCTAATATTAGCATGTCAAATTGAGCATAAAGCACAACGTATGGTTTTGTTTCGTCAAAGTTGATGCTAATAATGTTGCTTCTTTTTATTTTTATTGTATTTATTTGTTTATTTACATTTTACTGGTACTTTACCTTTTGGCTATAAATTTTAAAATGTCATATGACACAGTTACATGTTCAGTGCTGTGTACAGTAAAAGATGAAGAATACAGCTACAGAATGAAAGGTGAATAGCTAAAATAGACAAAAAGTCCTCCAAAAGCATGTTTATAACTCGTGTAGGATATGTGGAGATGAGGACGAGCTGCACAAATAAATTGGCCTGAGTCTCTGCTCTAGCTTGCGAGCACTCTTCTGTCGCGACCACATAGGCACAAAACTTGAATGAAGCCTTATCTTTAGAGATTCTTGGAAAAAAAGTAGAAATCATGGGAACTGTCGAGAGTTCTGGAGTTTTTACAAATGTGTTATGTCGGTTAGGTTTCTGAATGGTGTCATGGAAAAGTGCAAATTTAGAGGAAGTGAACAATAATTGAAAAATGTTTTTGAGCATTGAAAATGAGGATGGAAGAATAATCAGAATTTTTTGGGGCGGGGTGCAAAACAACAGATGGTAACGTAAAATAATAGTGATGAAAACTCTTACCAAGGATGAGTTTGGTTCCTTCAGCGAAACTCAACCACAGCCATGCAAAGTGGCAAGGCGGCCGTTCGAAAACAAAACTCCCCAAGTGTCAGTGAGTGATGATCCACCGATGCTGCTGACAGTTTGCTTCCATAAACGGGAGGTCAGTCGAGGGCGCTCACCACGGGGCCTTTTGGGATCGGTCAGTACTTGGCCGACAGATGTGGCAGAATCCAAGAGGTACTAAATAGATGACCATTTTTGCTCAAAACAATGCAGAGACCAGTGCCCTCAGACTGATGTGGAAGAGTCCAATGAGTCCCCAAAAAACAGGAAGCAGTGGCCTCTCACTTTCACAAAGGCAGGTGCGCTCGCAGCTTCATTTGCATACACTTCTGCATCACTTTTCACACAAATTGATTCCTACAACATGCATGTTAGTTTTATTGGCGCGAAATCAGTGCTTCTCAAAATACCATCTCGAAAAAATATATTTTGCTCTCCAAGCACCACCATGGCCAACAATGGCCAACGTTAAAAAACAGTCAAGGAACATGTGAGGTTTTAGTCCTGAAAAAGCATATTGATGCTACTTGTGTTAAATACAATTGAAGTGTGTTGCACTGGATTTAAAACAAACTTTTTTTTAAAAAACTGTTTCATTTACCTGGAGCTAAAAGCTTCAGTCTTATGTTTGTTTTTCAATCAAACTGTATTCTATTTTAAAAGTTGGGAAGGTTAATTGTCTTTCTTTCGGTAATTCTTTCACACGCCACAAGAGAGTGCCCATGCACCAATCGTGGTAAATGTACATTTGGAGAATCGCTGCTCCAAATCGACCCTTATGAATACACAAAATTGATTAGATTGCGTGAAACCTGTAAAAAAAATAAATAAATAACGATTTAAACTTGTTTCTGTCACGTGACTCCGACCTTGGTCGATTGACGGATGAAAGGACGGTTTGAAAAAGGTCATGCAAAATGACGGTTGACACGAAGTGGAGACGACCGGCGGAGAAAAAAAATCAGGGGTTCAAATATCAGTTCCAGCCGTAGCTGTGTTGAGCTTGTGAGCACTGAGAACGAGGCAATAAAAAATTTGAATGTTTGCCAAGTACAGTCATGCAGCTACCGATCCCTTCAGACATGGAACGGTCGAAAAAACAGGAAGCGGCGACCGCTCACTTTCGCAAAGACAGGTGCGCTCGCTAGCTCGCAGCTTTATTTGCGTGAGCTTCTACGCTTGGCCGCCCCGCTGCTTCTTTAAAAGTCCGCACCCCGTTTTTTACGCAAACTCCACTCGCAACCCGAGTCAGGATGTGGTCGCACGCGCTCGCCCTCGCCCTTTGGGCTCTCCTGATTCCGGGTGAGACGCTTGAAAACTTAATGTCGGCACAGAATACATGATAAGAATAATAAGTAAATTCTCAAACTGTTTGTTCATCTCAGTGTCAAATTTTTGGCTTTGGCTAAACATTTGACGATGCTTCACGGTGGAGGTTAGCTTCTCATTCATCTCGTTTCAGGATCTTCCGCCGAGGATGATTTTTTGACGCAGAAGTTCAGAATCAAGTCCGTTTCTCTTGGGGGCACGGTGACCATTGGCGCCAGCGGGAGCTCAACTGTGGATGATCTTACTTGGTACCAAGTGAAACCTGGACAGGCTCCCAAAATGCTCATCACCGGAGCAACCACTCGCTTCTCTGGCACGCCATCTCGATTTAGCGGCACACGATCCGGTTCCGACTACACTCTGACCATCACTGGTGTCCAGGCGGAAGACTTGGCTGATTATTACGCTTTTGCCTGGTACAACACCGGCTGGTAGACACGGTGATTCAGAGGAGTGCAAAAACCTCCTTCGACTTTGAGCGAAGTGAAAGTAGCCCGCAGAAGGCGGCAAGGGAAAAGCACTCTAAAACTGTGGATGATAAGCATGACTGGTCATCAAGCAGAAACAGCAGCAAGCTCCAGAATCATTGAAGCAGAATGACAACGTGTATATACAGCGCAAACAATTCTTAAAAAAACAAACAAAAAACAAAAACAAGATTCACGTCGTTTCTCGCCACTCCCAGTTGAAGTCAAACTAAATCGAAAGAAAAGAGAATGACATCTTGTCTATTTAAAACAAGTCGGCTAGCTTAATGCTAATGCTAAATACCATCTGCGTCGCAGTGCTTTTGACCCTTTCAGCAACGGATTGAAAACTGTGCACCAACATATGTAGTCAGATAATATGATGGTTCTCAAGCATATGTATATTTTTTTATCCTCGGCGTAAAAAGAGTGACATCATGTCTATTTAAAACAGGTCGGCTAGCTTAATGCTAATGCTAAATAGCATCTGCGTCACAGTGCTTTTGACCCTTTCAGCAACGGATTGAAAACTGTGCGCCAACATATGTAGACAGACAATATGATGGTTCTCAAGCATATGTATATTTTTTTATCCTCGGCGTATAACTGCTAATAGTGCCGTACTGACGAGCATAAAACAGTTTAACTCTATTCAATTCTAATTAACTATGCCATGACTGTACATTATAAAATAGTGCAAATTGTCCTCGCTAAAATACTCATCAGAGCAAATATTTTTTTGGGAGGGAAGGGTGGAACAGATTATTGAGTTATTGAGTGTCCATTTCTTTCTATGGAAAGTGTGAGTTACTAATGAGACGGAATACATGAATAATAAAGACATAATTATGAATGAATTATGAACTCACCTCACATGAAATTCATACCCCCCCAAAAAAAATATACCAAGAGGAGAGCTGATGTGAACAAGACACCAACCCCCCCCCCAAAAAAAAAAACAAAACGTAATCGATTTGACCGACGTATTATGACGTGAACTGAAGCTAAACAACGTTCGGCTTTCACGGCCCTACACAGGTGCCATTGGGCAAGGCACTGAATCCCCAACTGCTCGAGGCACCTCGATAGTTCCCCTTGTTTCCAGATTCATGACAGAATTTTGAAATAAGGCCGCAACATAGCAAAATGTGGAACGCTTTCCTAATGCACCATAAATGTTGTGCTCTGACTCAAAGTCTTTTTTTAGTGTCACAACCCTTCGAGTTGTTACATTGTTCCCAACGGAGATTACAGGTGATTGGATTGGTGGCGAGTGACGTCGCCGGACATTGTTAAGCGAAGCAAGTTCAGGACGGTCGAGGGGTTAGCGGAGGCGCCGTGACGTACGGAGGCTTAAGAAGGCACACTGCTGGGATAATTGGGTTTGCGTGTGGGGGGAGTGGCATGGCCATTCAAGAAGTTTATTGCCACTCCGAGGGGAAGTTTACTGTAATACTTAAGGCCCAACTACTTTTTCTTATTCGTTTTGAAAACACTGACTCCTTCCAAAAAACGTGGACATTTTCTCTCGGGGAAATTGCTGAGATGGTGCTGAAGTGGCCGATAAAACTAGCATTGATGTTGCGGCAGGTATAAAACCTTTCGACAACGGTAATGTGATGGTGCAACACATATAGACAGACAATATAACGATACAGGCGTGCGTGTGTTCTTTCTCCTCTCCAACAAACGAATAATATTCCTGCATTTTCGTCTTCCTCGCATTCACACCATCAACTCTACATGGAATACACAGCATGTGTGTATGTCGCTGCCCCCTTGTGGTCAGGGTGCGCACACCAGAAGGAGCAGCACAATGTCCGCTGAATTAAAGCATGGAATTTTTATTTTATTTTTTATTTTTTACGACTATACGTTCTAAAATTTTACAAGACGACAGAGTGCAATTTTTCTCACGGAGAACACGTTCCATTTTATTTTTTTTTTT